AGCATGACGCTCTTTCTTTTTTGAAGACCCAACACAGGGTTTTAGACCTCCAAAAAAAAAAAAAAAAAAAAAAAGGAAGACAAAAAAAGGCAAAAGCCATCAAGCCGGCCAAGCCCAGCTTTGGATCCCAGTGCAGGTATTTCTGCTGCTGTGTTCATCCCTTGCCGACTACCACCCCGGTTTATTTTTTTTTTTAAAGGAAAGAAAAAAAGAACGAAAAGGAGAAGTCGAACTCTCAAAGGGTTACTATGCAATTGCGACTGATTTCTTGGTTTTTTATCACTTTGAACTTTATGGAATACATTGGCAGCCAGCACGCCTCCAGGGTACGGCGACAGGGAAGAAGTAAGTGCGAAGAGATTTATACTTTGATAACTTCTGCTTCCTCTCGCTGTGCTGTTCACCTGTCCGGGGGCTCCTGCGCCCCCGCCGCCCCCGCGCTGGGCAGCAAGTCCCCCGCCCGCGGGGCGGCCGAGCGGCTCTGCCGGCAGCGGCATTGAGTTGGAGGGGCTGAAGGCGGTTTTTCATCTCTTTCTGCTTTTCTCTCTCACCTCACCGGGATGAGCAGAGCTGGCTCCGGGAAGATCTGCGTCTGCTCCTTTCTATTTTAATGTCTGGTAAAGGGGAACATCCTTTCTTAGCTCTTTCCATGTCCTAAAGTGAAAGCGCGGTGACACCACAGGTAACTTGTTGCCGTGATGCCCTAAGCGCCTTTCTCCGCGCCGGTCACCATTTAGCGCCCTGGGGGAGGACGGAGAGAGAGAGAAGCCCCCACCCCAAGAGGCAGCGGCACGGATTATCGCTATGGGTTAAGCCTGGCGCCCGGCGATGCGGAGTGGGGGGCTGGGGTGCCGCGGCGCTGCCCGGCCCGCTGACTACCAGCCTTCACTCGCCACCAGTCACTTCGGTGGCAGCGTCCAGGAAGCCCCCGGGTCCATCGGCACTGCCCCGGGTCTGTGGCCCCTGATATTTTATGTTTGGGGTTTTTTTTAAATCCCACGGGATGGAGGGAGTTCGTCCCTTCTGACTTAGCCAGCCCCTGACCAGCGTCGCCTGGGTTGGCAGCCGGGAGGCCCGGGACATCCCCGCAGGTCGGGGGCGAGGGTCAGTAACCGGGGATGCTGGCAGCAGCTCCGTGGGCGCTGCCGTCCGGAGGAGGCGATGTGGGAGAGCGGAGGCCAGGAGAGCCCCCCGGCACCGGGGCAGGGAGAAAACCCAGGCAGAAGCCAGCCGCCCCCTCGGGAAGGCGCTGTCCAGGCGGCGGGGCGCTGCCCGGGGCGGGCGGGCTCTGCCTCCGGCGCGGGGCTCCGGCGTGGCCGGCGGCACCGGGC